GAATCAGATATCTATAGTGTTGGGATGTTAATGTGGGAAATATTTGCAGGTCATCCACCATTTGATGACAGAGCTCATAATCATCGTTTGATTTTTGATATATGTGCAGAAGGTTTACGACCACCAATATTGCCTGGAATGCCTGAAGATTATGTGCAAATAATGCAGAGGTGTTGGGATGTGGATCCATCAAAAAGACCAACTAGTGGAGAGCTTTATGATTTTGCTGTTAATCTAGAAGAAACTATTAAAAACAATAATGATGACTATAATGGTAATCATACTACTAGTAGTGGTAGTGGTGCTTCGCAACAAGAACACAAATCACATCCAGATGCATATTATAAAAGTAGAATATTAGACGAAGAGATTGCTAAATCAAAAAGCTTGAAAATTTATACAAGTAATGATAGTTCGTTAAATAATCTTGATTTTGACTCTTTTCTCTAGAATGTTGACAAAGGTAAATAAAAACTTATTATTAATCAATTGAAAATTAATATCAATAATTAATTAATTAATATTAAATTCTGGTATCTATAGATGACTAATTTAAACTCCACTATAAATTTATTATTATTTTTTATTTTTATATTTCATCCTTATTTTCTTTTCTCAAAACATCATCATAATGATGTTTTGAAATAATAAACTTTTTACAATTTTTGTTTCTTGTTAAATGGTGATGTTGCGAGGTAACATTTTAACTTTTGGCTGCTCTTGTCAGTTAATTCGATGCATGTCAATTAATTAATTTTTTGGTTCTCCCTTTCTTGCACTTCGATGAATCTGTGAGCCCAAATCTTTGTTGCTCAATAAAGCAAATTACGTTACTAATTATTGTTAACACTTACTAGTTAACCAATGTTAGTACTAACCTTGCTTGCTTGCTCAGTAAAGTAAATAAACTTGGATTTTTACCAAAGCTTCACAATTGTTATCTTTTACCAAGGCACTAACTACACTTGTTACTTTATCAAAACGCTTTAAACAAAGAAAGTAAAGTAAAGGCAATATTTTTATTATTAACGATTAATTTTACTTGATTAATTATTAATTATTTTCCTCTGCGAGAAACCGAAGTTATGCCTTTTCAAGCGAAGACCAGAAGTTATCTTAATGAAATATCATTGCAATAAGAATAAAGGTAAAGTTGGGTTTATTATTGTAAAATAACTTAAGCAATCAATAAAAACTCCATAGCTTTTGCGTAAATTTTCATTTGATAATAATAATTTTATACTAAAATTAGTTGATCCTGGAACATAAAGCCTAATCGGTGAGTTTATCTACCCAATCATGTATCATGCTATTAATATTAATTAAGATAAGGAATGTTCGAGTTAGTAGTAAATGAGTGAATTTGTATTCAGCAAAAGAAAACTTAGCTCCTTGGGAACCATTGACGAAACAAAGAGAGATTGGGATACTCAAGAAAAATATAAAAAAGACCTTGGAATATATATTTACAAGTTTTTTTTTGTGAATTTTTTTTTATATTTTATCAGCCTTTAAAGGCGATTTACTTAAGTCATTTTTGACTTAATTGCAGCAAATTTGAGGTAAATGGTTTTACAACTTTGGTAACATTTCGTCAAACAACATTATCATCTACTTACTGTCCAAATTCGTATGATTTTCTCTATATAGTGGACAATGTAAACTGAGAACCCAATGGGCATCAATCTGATGCCCACCTTCTTTATCTATGCTAAAGTATAGGTCTAAGTTTTGAGAGTCAGCGAAATGCATGGTTAATTTGTTAATGGCATTAAAGACTTGAGACTTGGTCAAGACATCTACCTTGGCTGGAGTACTCCACATTAAATCATTAGAAGTTTCAGTCACATGCGTGTTTTGTTTCGGAACATTGATCACTTTTTTGCATCCAATTTATAATATTTTGAATCTGAAATGTCTGTTAGGCTTGAAATAGAATTCGCACTATAAGTTACTTGTCTAATTATATTTATTCCTATTCCTTCAAACAATGCATAGACTTTTTTAGCTTTGAAAGTTTGTTTACATCAATGATTTCAGGAAGAAGTGCTCTGATTTCGTTATATACCAATGTTCTCGCTGATTTGTCATCAATGTTATTCATGGATTTAAATATCCGTTACTCGATTTTCATATGCTTTAGTGTAACAAATTTTCTTTTTCATCGCCGTATTAAACAAGTCTACTATAATCTGAGCCATAGATCCTGTTAATATTTTCTAGAGGAAGTTCAGGAATTTTCACTTCTATGTCTTACATAATGATATTTCTCTCAGCACTAACAGATAACTCATGCATTAGGCCTTGTTCTACTTTTTGATTATAAGGAATTTTCTAATCAATGGACATTTGCCTCGATTCACCAGAAGTGCAGTTACATGGATCGGAGACTCGAGAAGCAGGAGCTCCATTACTCCATAATAGTTTATTATTAAACGATAGCACTTTTGTGTCTGCTTCTTAGTGCTGAAATTTTGATTGGACATAAGTCATAACAGATGCTGAATCTTGGAAAATTATTTTGTGAGGAATAACACTTCGTGCCTTGGTTGTAGGACTCTCAGAAGAGAAAAGTATTTTTTGTATCAATCCTTAATCTTGAAATTTCTTTTCCCTGTTTCTCTCTCTCATCATATTACTAACCATTTCCTTATTTTTTGAATCCAGAAATTCATCGATCTTCTTATCCTCCATGATTTAGCCTCTGAGTGAATAGGTGATGCATCGTCAGATGTACCGGCTATCTGTTCAGAGATATTATTAGAATTAACTTCAGGACTGCTCTAGATTTACAGAGTCAATGTTATCATCTTCATTAAAATGGTCATTAATTGGTGATGGATAGGTGTTTGTGAATGGTCTTTAGTGGTTCGATTTACTTTATGATTTGTTTTAGTATTGTATTTCGATTCTAAGATTAGCTATTTCTTCTATAATTTGTTTTGATTTGATATCTTCAGCCTCAAGTTTGGTAACTCACTGTCTCAATAATTCAAGCTCTGATGACATATTCGATAATATTTTTTATATAAGGGTTTTATTCAAAAAAAAAATAAAAATAAAATAACCTGCGTGTTCCAAAATGGAATGCTGACTTTCCCAAGAAAAAAAAATTTTTGTATTGATATTGTTAATAACATACGACACTATATATCCCACAAATCTATAACAAAAACAATAAACGGATGGAAACCTCAAGGCATGTCCACCACTGATCCTAATCAATATTTGCACCATCAAAACTGGAATAAGTATATGCACATCATGGATAATGGAGATATAATCATAATCGATAGAAATATAAGACAGTATTTGTTTATGGAGAGGTATGTGGATATCTTGAGGTGAATGTGCAAAATACAGAGTCTATGACTCAATCTCAAACTGGATATCATCAATATATAATAAGGGAATTAATGAAGATTTATCAGAGGCCTATTTTAATAATGATGTGTATTTTTAGGTCCTATCCGCATGTTTTAAATGTATAATTTTTATTAAATTTGCTATTATGATAAAAATGAATAATCTGCCATCTAATGTGAATACACAAAAAAATTATTTTTGAGTCTTGATATAGCAACCTTTGATGTAAAATATGTTTTCGTAATTTGCAACGTTTAGGTTTTGTAGCTATTGACATTGAATGAAGTATCTTTGTAATTTTTATTACCATCATTATGGGACAAATATTTAGCTTTATTTATTGCATTTTCCTATTATCAAATGAGTCTTTATAAGCATTGCATCAGGAAAATAAATCTCATGTAAACCTATGCAGGGTTTAAAACTGACCAGCATTATGCGGAAATGTTAACAGAATTACCAAAATATTGACATAATGCTGGCCAATTCTGAACCCTACGTAGGTTTATGTAAGATTTATTTTCCTGATGATTGTTGATTGACCAATTACGATTTTTGTGTTTTATCATTCAAAATGGAAAATTTTTATGCGGAAGAGTATCAATACCATAAATATGATGATGACAACAATAGTAGTGGTGTTGTTGATGATAATTTTACAAGCGAATGAATAAACACTTCCAATACAAGGTCCAATAGTTCATTGGTTTCAAGTTCCAATGATTTAAGCAGTGGTTCCAGAAGACCTTTAAAAAAACGAATCATGACATATGGTTTTGTGTGTAAGCATTTTGAAAAAGTGAAAGATTCAAATGAAAATGAATTCGTAATTTGCAAATTGAAAAAAAAAAATTTAGTTGACTAAAGAAATTTTGGATTTTTTGGATGATCCCAACCTCTAATTTTGTGAATTATTATTATATTTATTTTATTCTAATGAAATTATATGAGCAGGATATTGCTTTTATTTAAAAAAAAATGAAAGGTTATTCTCAATAGGCAAAAAATCATAACATATGTTGTTTTATCATTTTTATTAGTCCAGATTAGGGTTCATAACCGTAATTATAACTCCATATTCGAATATTCGTAAATCCAAAATTAACGAATTTTGAATATTATTTCGGATACTCGTAATTATTTTGAATGCTATTCTAACAAATTATTGTTAATTTTTTTTTGTTCTTTAATTGATAAAGTTTCTTTTTGGACATCATCAATTCAATTGTTCATTTCAAGCTATATCAAAAAGTTATTAATAAATTATATCATCATACATTTTAAAAATGATTTATACAATTGAAGTATTAGGAAAATTATCTGCAAATTCCCATTTGGGTTTTGAAAGAATTACTTTTTAAATGAAAATGTTTTCTGATTAAATATTTTGGTTGTTGTAAAAATATGTTATCTTTATTATCTTTGAAAAATGTTTGTTATATAGTAGGATAAGTTGAATTGTTTGGCTTGCTTTTTTATTTGGGTGCTAAATAAAAAACATAATTAAATGTTAATTCCTTATTGAAAAGAAGATAAAATTATTAACACCATACCATTTTCTCTTTAAATGTGATATATTCAGCTTTACATTTCTTTAAAGCATTCAAGATATTCAATTCTTCTTGCTTGAAAAAATGTTTTGCTTCATCATTATCAATTATAATCATTAATTCTGAAATATGAGTGCCTGTATGCCTATTATCAATACTTCTCCAGTAGTTTTTTTTGTTGAATTTTTACTGGATATACAACCAAGATTTGAATCCAAAAGATACCATTGTTTCTTGCTTTCTTAAGCTTTTTATCAATAATTTCAATAATTTACAAGTGGCTCATTTGTGAAATTTGGTTCATCATCACCTAATTCATTTTCTTTCTTTTGATATGCATAAAATGCATTAGGATCTGTTGTTCTAATGGCTTTTGCTGGTTTTATATTCACTGATAGTTTTGCTTGAACAAAAACTGGCACATCTATATAGTTTTCATCAGGACCTTTAAATTGAACTATAAAAACCAAATCTGGACCAGCTGTATCTTCTGGAACAAAGAATGCTGAGTTTGAAGATCCAAGAAATTGATCCAGACCAAAATTTTCATCACCTTGTTCACAAAGAATTATTTTATGGTCTGGTCTAACAATTGTTATAGGATAGGAAAAAATTTCTGGACATTGATCAATGCCAATGGCCTTTTTAACAATATTATTATTTGATAAAATGTTTTCATTGAACATTTGTGTAAGTGGTTTTATTAAAAATGTTTCAAAAGGCCAACCACAGTGTGATGGAAATTGGAAGTTATGACACATTTCTTTTAACAATGGATTATAAGATTCACCTTTTGTTTCCATATATTTAATAAATGCCATAACACATAGTGGTTCTGATAGTTGCACAAATGCTGTTACTCCTTCTTGCTCTGTATCCAGTTGAATCCTTTCTAACTCTCCAAATCCAACTTCAATGATTTTCAATGAATCCTTTTTTAAAATAACAGGATGACCATAGTAATAATAGCTAATCACCATATTATTTACAGTTCCCATATATCTATATTATGGCTTAATTTTTCAATTGTTTTTTCTAAAGATATTTTTTTGTTAAGTGTAACCATCTTTCTATTCCATCATCAATTTTGCAATGTTCTTCATTTTTGAATATAACTTCCAGAAACTTAATAGTAAAATGATATCTGCCTTGCATAATGATAAAAAATTTTTCCAAATGTTTTATTGATAAGGGTAAAAAATTTTGGATAAAACCATGCATTTCATTTATATTCTAAAATCCACAAAAAACACCAAAAAATCATCAGTAGTGAGAAGTCCACCTAATTTAGCAACAAAGCTACCTGAACTCTTCTCAATGGCTTCCATTTTTAATCCTGTCCCAGAGATGATGTCACCAACATTATTCATATAAAGCCATTCAATTTGAACAAAGTAAAATTGTATACAATGGTCTTCTAGTGTTATAATCTGATGAATGAAACTTATCTTTATATACTTCAATAGCATTTTGAGTTTCATCAAATATAATTGGTATTTGTTTTTGATTATTAATGTTGTTGTTAATTAATTTTTCTATTTTTTGAAGTTCATTTTTTATAAAATTTTCAATTTCATTATATGTATATCTTGAAATACTTTTGAAAGCTCTACCTAAAAATCATCATGACCTATATCAATATTAGAGGGTAAAGGCTGTAATAACAACCACTTTCTTGACTCTAAAAACTCTCCTTGAGCTTTAACTTTTTTAAGAAGTTTTGACAAAATAAACAATTGAGCTGCCAATGCATAATAAATATACTTGAGAGCCATATCAGTATTTGCCCTTGGATCATCTTTCTTAAATTCATGTCCCATTTCATGGATAGCCACATTCAAGTCTTTGGATCCAGGGTTATCATGATCTGCAAGCATTGTAAAATAGATACCATATACTTGACATAGCAATTCAAACAAGTTATAAGTCTTTCCACTTTTTCTTAACATCATTAGCATCACAGAATGGTATTTGTAATTATATGTATGATTACACATATAAAAAATTTTACCCAGAGGTTCTAAGCATAATAAACCATCTCCAACTCATAGCCTTTTCCTTTAACTTATTCATATGATTTTTATTAACATAACCACCATTTATTATCCCTTGATTATTAGCTTCTGGCAAGTTGTGCAAAAGGAAAGAAGGTGATTTATCACCATTGTTGGGTTGTTAATGTATTCTGAATAAGGATGTTCCTTTCCAACATTAAAGAGAGTCAAATTATATTCTTCCTTCAAAAATTTATCCCAAACATTAAAGTTATCTTTCCAGAATTTTTTGTTTTTTGTTTTTACATCTTAAAAAGAAAGAACAAAAAAAAAAACAGCGTTATTATTGATCAGATGAAAGAACAATTAATAAATGTATTACAGAAATAATAAAACCTAAGTTTATATAAAAGCAATAATGATACTTACCTACACCAACACCAACCAAAAAAAAGATAATTCCAAAACAAATAATATTTAATAATTTAAAAATTTAAGTTCAAAGTATTGAAGAAAAAAAGCATAAGTTAGTTAAAGTTGTATACAGTATATAAACGAAATGGAATGAATGTAAAATAATTTTTTGCATATGTTTTTATGTAATTTGTTCATTACCTTTTTCTTCGAGTTCAATTAGTTTTTTTTGTAAATACGTCACCTGCTTCCACTTATTCTTCTTATCCTCTTTCAATGCCACCTCTTCCCTCTCCAGCCTCGCTTTCTCCCGCCCCTCCTTTTCATTAAGGCCGTTTATTCTTGTCTTTCTCCTCAACCCTTTAAGCCACTGCCCATCGCCTTCCCCCTCTTCAAACTTCTTTAACTCTTCCTCCGCCTTATCTAATCTCACTTTTGCGTCTTCTAATTCTCGTTCAATTCTTTCATACATTGTCATTTTCTAAAAATAAATTTTAAATTTAAATAGATTTAGACTAATGATAAATTAGTAGGAGCATGACTTGGAATTTAAACAATTTAATTCAACTTTAAATTCGAATTTTACTATGTTTTACAACCTCCTATAGATTGGCGGGCGACTGCTATATAAAAAGCTGCTTAATAGATATATTGTACGTGAAAATGAAATTATGTGGATTCGCAATTCACATGTGTGAAATTCAAATTAGCCAATCAGAATTTCCACTCCATAATATTTCAATTTCACATAATTTCATATATATAGAACAAACACGACTTAAACACACAGCTGAAGTAGAGAGATATTCCTGTGTTAGATATGGTCAAAGCCAAAAATCACATTAAGTTAGGCTCAATCTACGCGTATTGAATGAGGTCTAAACCAATTATTTCTTGTGGTTGCAATCAGTATCTAATAAGCAGCATACTTCACTTGGTTATTTTATTCATTAGTAATGTAGATTGGTTTTGGACAAGTGATATCTTTAATTCATCTCTGAAAAATGCGTGAATATTATTATAAAGATATTTTTGATGCTTGAAATCTATATGAATAGGTTCCCAGTATTGGAAATGATAAATCTTTAATAGTTTTTACTATTATGATGGGTGAAAGTTTCTGATTTTTCTAGTTTTCTATGGTAGGGGGGACCATTGGCAACCTTCTGAATTTTTACAACGCCAAGATTAAAAGCTTCAAAAAAACCATTCAACTTCCTAAAAACTTATTCAATCCAGCCCTATAGAGAAAAAAAAACACCGGAAATTCCTTGAAATATTAATATTAATTCGCAATTCGCCAGAAACGGAAAGAAAATACATATTGCAGATCGGGGCAAAATTTCCTTGTTTATATGTAAAAAAATTTTTATCACGTAACTTTATGTCCCACTAACACAAAACATTATAATGCAATATCCCCATATATGCATAATGAAAAATATCATGTATCACTATAATTTTCTTTTTTATTAAGAAAGTATATCCTCAAC